AGGCACACACACCAGCACGGACGGTAGTACACGTACTACTACAAGAAGTAGTACCCCAACGGCCAGACCTGACCTGCCCGCCAAACCTCAAACGCAAGATACAAGCACAAGCGACAATGGGTGGCAAAACCCACACCGCCGCCGCCCTGCACAAGCCGACACCAACACTACCGGTAGTCCACTGAAACGCACTATCACAAGCCAGTTCACAAAAGAGCCAGCCCGTACCAAACGCACTGACCTTCAGGGCGTGGAGCGGGTGAAGCGCACGGCTTTCTATCTTGGCAATGTAGACCTTGGATGCGATGCTGCCTCAATTGAACTGTGGTGTAAAAAGAAAGATGTCGAAGTTTTTCACTGCTCAATCTCAGAATCACGGTACTTTGGTACAGCTTATGCCCACCTGGTTGTGGGAGAGAACTGTGTAGACAAGATCCAAGGGCCTGGTTTCTGGCCTGACAAAATTAGTATCCGGAAATGGAGGTTCCACACTGACCAGGCTGAATCTGAACAATGAGTAAACCAACACCTCAACTTGACCCTAACGCAACACCCTTCTATCCTTCAACGCCCCTAGCCTCCTTTCCCGTAGCCTGTATCAATGCACGTTCCCTTAGAAACAAATCTGCTGAGCTATCCGACTTTCTCACGACCAGCTGTCCCCTTGTTGTTTGCATAACTGAAACCTGGTTGTGTCCACAAATTTCCCTCTCCTTCCCAGGCTATGAATGTTTTCGAGGGGATCGACCCACCTCCGAGAATAAAAATAACACCAACGACTTCCTGGCCTATGGCGGTGTTGCTATCTTAGTAAAATCAAGTGCATTTGGTCCTATTACCCACCGTACAGACCTACATCTTCCGCAATTCGAAGCTACCTGGGTAGAGATATCGCCATCCACTGGAACCTCTGCTTGCCCCACGCGCCAGCAGCCCATCCAAATTGCGGCTGTCTACCGCCCACCGTCCACCGACCCGTTGGTGATAGATAACTTTTACGCCTCGTTTCAAAGCTGCTTGACTAAAATACGGACCCCTGGCTCGCCAGTCCTCATCATGGGAGATTTCAATGCTAAATGTTCCACCTGGTATGGAACAACAACAGACACTGCAGGCCACCACCTTTCATGTCTTCTTGACATGTTTGCCTTGCAGCAACACGTCACATTCTCGACCCACCGCTCCCACAAAGGCAATGAGGCTGCTCTGGACCTGATGATCACTGACACTGCAGCCAGCATCTGCGATCCGCGCCCCTCAGCCCCTCTCGGTCAGTCGGACCACTCAATTGTTCTCGGCCGTTTGTGCATCCCGACATGTACCGCATCACCACCTGCACCCAACACTACACTGCCCTCCCATTCCTTCCAGATACCTGACTTCAGTCAGTTTGACATCTCCTCCATTCTTCCCACTCACCTAGTTGCTCTAAATGAATCCATTGCTAATTTGAACTGGCATGCTGCTCTCCAGTTGAAGCTTGGAGATCCAAACCGTACTGCTCCAGCATTTTATGACATCCTTCATGGTCTATGCTCCGCTTTCCTACCCACCCGGTCGCGCTCTTCAGCGCCTAGACGACGTACACCAAGTCCCCCGTGGCTGACACGTGCTGTTAAAGCTCAGCTGAAGAGGAAGCGAGACTCGTACAGCTTGTATCGCAAGTATCCTACCCCTAGCAATCACGAGCATTACAAGTGCGAACGTAACAGAGCACGAATCCTATCTAGAGAGGCTCACCGCCAGTATGTGTCCTCCATTAGCACTAACCCCTCATTCATTATTGCATCCACCCCTAGTTTGTTCAAGTTTGTTAAGCAGCTTCGTTCGCCGACCCCTGTTGGAAACCCTATCATCACTGAACTCCATGAAAATAACACAGTACACAACGACCCTACCCAGATTGCCAATGCTCTGAATCGCCAATTCATCAGCTTTGGAACACCGGATGATCCTGCATGGTCTCTCCCTGGTATTCCACACCACGGGCTCCCAGCACTACCCTCTTTTAGCACTACTCCCACCGCCATTGCCCAACACATCCGTCGCCTAAAGCCCAAGAAGGCGGCAGGTGCAGATGGCATATCCCATGAACTGCTAAAAGCCCTGTCTCCTAGTATAGCTATCCCTCTCAGCCTAGTTTTCAACCAGTCCTTCGCCACCGGAATCTTCCCTGATGTCTGGAAGGCAGCTGTGGTTGTGCCTATTTACAAGAATAAAGGCAGTAAACTGTCTGCATCCAATTACCGGCCGATTTCACTCCTTTACACCATTTCAAAGCTCTGTGAACGTGTGGCATTTGGCCACTTATACCAACATGTGAACCCGGTCCTTGACCCGTCACAGTCTGGATTTCGGCGAGGCGATTCGACCGCCTGGCAGTTGCTGAGGCTTGTGCAGAAGCTATATGAATGCAAGGATCAGAAGCAATTTAGCCTCCTATGTTTTTTCGACCTCAGCAAAGCATTTGACACTGTCTGGACAAGGGGTCTCCTCCATAAGTTAGCAGCGTTTGGCGTAGCCGGGACGTGTCTGCAGTGGCTCACCAGCTATCTCACTGAACGTCGACAGAGTGTCCGAATTGGACATGCCCTGTCCGCCCCTCTAACAGTCCACTCTGGAGTGCCCCAGGGCTCTATCTTGGGGCCTCTATTGTTCATCGTATACGTTAATGATTTGGCAGGTTTGGATCATACCTCACTCTACGCGGACGATACAGCGCTCCATATAACCGAGCCAGGCTTATTGCAAGCCTGCGACTCGCTACAGTATCACATCAATCAAGTTGTGCGCTGGATGTCGAAGTGGAAACTCCGCCCCAATGTGTCGAAAACGGCAATCCTTTGTATCCCCCCACGACCCTCCAGTGACCTCACCCTCCTTACGACTCGGCTTTTTACTTTCCCTGATGATCCCATTGCTATCAACATTGTTAAAAATCACAAACACCTTGGTATATTTCTTGATGAACACTTGTCCTGGGATTCGCACGTAACCTATATTGAAAAGCGAGTTTGCTCCGCGATAGGCTGCATTTCTCCTCACATCTCCCATCTACACCATGGTTGTCGAATACAAATTTATCACGCTTATGTTCTTCCTTTGTTTGATTACTGCTCTCTCGTTTGGTCCTCCGGTCTATCCTCCGCTCTTATGCATCGGTTAGAAGTCACCCACCGTAAATTACTTCGATTAATATTTCGCATGCCCCCTCTGACCTCCTCTCAGACGCTATACATTTTGGCTTCCTCTTCCCCTCTCTCAGAACGCTTTCCCCACTCGGCATGCAAATTCATTCACCGTATTAAGCTTCAACTTGCTCCTCCTCATGCACTTGCGCACTTAAGCTGGTTCAATAATAGCTCGCGTACTAGATGTTCTCTCCATTTCCCACTTGCCAGGTCATCGATCCTTTTAAAATCCCCTCTGTTCAAGTCATATTCTCATTGGTCTCGGCTTCCGCAGGAGGTAAAGTCTCGTGACACCTTCGCTGCATTTTGTTCCATTCTGCCCGCGCCTAAGTTGAATTGAATTGAATTCGTTGTTTTCCATTGCTAGCCTAATCTTCATACTGCTCTCTCCAGGTTCCTATAGTACTCCTTTTGTTTTCTTTTCTTTTCTCTTTTTCTTCTCCTTCTTTTTCTCAGTTGTCCCCACCATGGCTGGTTAAAATCGCCCGCATCACATGCTTATTGGCACTATGTCATCGTGATTGTGAAATAATAATAATAATAATAATAATAATAATAATAATAATAATAGGTGAGAATTGAGGCGATAACAGGGCAGTGTTACCGAGTCATCAAAGGCGATAGCGACAGTAGCGCAAGACCACAGCAGGAGTGAAGAGGAAGAGAGAAAGCACCATGGCGCCAAACCTGGTGCAGGTTGCGCCATGTTGAAAAACTCATGTAACTGATGGTGAACATCTGGACAGGTAATACTTGAGACTTGTATACATGTTCATGCAAACAATAAGTCATTAATTAATCACGTGAGAGACACATAATAGTTTGAATAGTTTGTGTATATGTCAGTTATAGTAGTCCGCAATGCTGCTTTTCTAATTCTCATTATAACTAGCATGCAATGTACTACTCGAAGTACTAAATTTACTTCTCTTTGTACTCTATATTCTAATGTGTCTTCTACCTCTTCTCCCCTACGAGCATACTTTATCATTTTCCATACTTACTTAGGAGATTCCCTTTGATAGGCATCCATTTGCCTCTGGAGGATCCGTGAAATCAATCAATATCACTCAGATATACTGTTTGGTTACAGACTCGATTCGCACTTGGGATATAACAAGGTGCTGGCATAGTAGTCAATGTTACGTAAAAGCGACGAGCAATACCACCACCATTCAGTGGTGGATAAGCCGGACTTAATGAACGCTGTAATAACATCGAAGAAGGGCCTGCCTATGCCTCTGGGGGTAGGCGCGTGCTAGGGGAAGCAGATGCTGTTTGGCCCTTTGTTTTTTTTTGTTGGCCCATTAGTGCCTGCTTATGAACCACGAGTCATTAATATTACGATTCACCATTCTCACCACTACTGGACTCTGGCTCTGAAACCAGATGCAGTTCACAACAGTGTTGGTGCTACTGCTTCTGGTGGTCGGGTTTCTGTTGCCAAGAGAATTGGTAGAGCTGGTCAAAGGGATGGACTCGAGATCCAAGGACCGTAAAAATTCGAAACCCCATATACATGCATATTGTCAGTGAAGATACGGAGCCAGCCCCCCGAGTCGCCGCCGCAACCAGGCGGCATATCGCAGAGTAGCATGTTGTTGCTTGACACTATAATTCGCACCACAGCACTTGACATGTTAGAGGAAGCAGATATCAACAAAACAAATAAGAAGTCTCTACTTTCCAACACGACAGCCAGGATCAAGCTGAGTGGCTCCCTGAGTCCACCATTCCCAACTAAAATCCAAGTGGTCCAGGGAGACCTGATGCCCCCTGCCCTGTATGCCTATCAGAGTAATAATACAAGCTGCTTGGTAAATGGTAAGGCGTGCACAAAATATGAGAAGGGTTTTCAATAGGCGAGTGTACTACGACCGCTGGAGTACATCTCGGATTCTGTAATTTTTACGAGGCAAGTGTCCCGTGTTCCTGGAACAACACATGTTTTTCATCTAGTACGATGCACGGGTGACTGCAGACATACATATGCGGATGTATGTTCATGATATTGGCAAACCAACGACAAATAAATGTAGACATACATCAGACCATAATACAGTAGACACGTATTCATGAAACCATGCACATGTAGGTGGAGTGAGCGGTAGAACGTTATCAGCAGGTACGAGACAAAGTCTGATTGGTCACAAAAACTCGATAACTAAAGGGGAAAGTGCACGGTTCTGGCATGCAGTCAGTGCTACGCCGAACCCTAGAACTGGACCAGCACAATGCAGTACCAGCTCAGGCATACTTACTCTATACTAAGACCGACATCGACACATAGAACGTACAGCACCTATACCGATGGAGATAGGGGCATTCCAAGGATAGCATAATCATTTGATGGTGTTGAACCCGTTGTGCCTTTTTCCGTTTCACCAGTTATGCCACTACTCTGCGCTGGAACTAGTTGCTGCTGCCTGTGGTGTTGGTGGTGCTGCTGCTGATGTTCGGGCTGCTGTTGCTAAAGATAGTGTTGCCACTGCTGCTGCAGTACGCTTCCCATGAATGAGCCCCTCATGGTTGCTTCTTGCTGCATGGCGGCGGGGCCGGCGGGTGTTGTTGATGCAGCAGGGCTAGAAGATCCAGCAGCATCTGCACTAAAAGTCGGGACATTGGCTGTGGCAGAGAACTGTCCAGCCGCACTCAGCACCGGAAGTGATGGTCTGTTAGCCATGTTTGGAAACGAAGGCATACCAGCACGACCTCGATAGTGCTCGTCCTGCACGCCTTCATGGCCACATATAAATTCCTGGTGGTGCTGCTGCTGGTGTTCTGGTTGCTGGTGCTGCAGATAATGTATCTGCTGCTGTTGCTGTATATTTACCGTGGATGAGCCTGCCATGGTTACTGGTTGCTGTGCGACGACGGAGGTGGTGGTACCCGTCGATGCAGCAGTGCTATTCGAAGATGTAACAGAGGCTGCACTAAGTGGCGACGCAGTGACTGTTTCAGATGACTGTCCATCTGCACTCACTACTGAAAGTAATGCCGAGCTCAACATGCTTGTAACGGAAGGTGCGCCACCAACATGTCCAGGAGAGTTTCTGTGATGCACGCCTGGTGTTGGTCTTGATTCTCGCCGTTGGTGAACCTTCATGTGTCGACGCCTGTCCCTCGCCCGAGTAAACCTTGTAGGGCACAACACACACTGGTATGGTTTCTCACCGGTATGTGTAAGCTTGTGCTCTTCCAGGTTTGACAGCACTGAAAAATTGCGCTTACAGATTCCACATTCAAAGGGCTTCTCGCCTGTATGTGTACGCATGTGCCGGGTCAGGTTGCAACTGTATTGGAAACGGCGAGTGCAGCCCTCATAACCACATACATGTGTCCATGGCCGGTGCTTCGATGGTCGCGATCCACCTTTCGGTGACAGTTTCACGCGGCAAATCTGTTCTTCGTGATTGTAGGTAGCTGGCACCGTATTACGTGGCGGTGACGTCATCCCCGAGGAACTCAAACCATGTGCATCCTCAATTTCGCGAGTCGAGGGAAACGTATCAGTGCTGGCACCCTGAACAATGGAAATGTTTGCAAGGGAAGCTGTGGTATCTTGGTGTCCCATTACACCAGCGGTCATAGTGTACTGTCGCTGCTGCCGCTGCTGCTGGTGCCTCTGGTTAGGGCTAATGGTGGCATCAGTACCAACACTCCCGGCAGCCGGGATGTTGGTAGCTAATGGGCCCATTGCTAGCTGATCACCCGGCAGAAAATTTTTTAACGGTGACAATAATGGAACGTATGGGAACCTTGGGAAGGTATCTGCATTCCCACCAACAACGGGTTTACCAGCCATGTCACTTTCCAGTTTCTGGCATTGAGGTGAAGCCTGAGTTTGGTGCCCGCTACTTGTGACTAAAGAGCTCGGCTTATCTTGCAACAATGCTGATCGAGCAAGTTGCGTGTGTAGATGAGAATATGGTTGTGACTCGGACTGTGGCCCTGAAGGCGCAAGATGTTGGAGGATGGTGTCCACACTTGCGCCATCAGTGTGGGTGAAATCAGTGAAATTGAAAGGCGCCGCATCCATGGTCGCCGATGCTTCTAGCAAGTCAGGTTCTGATGCCGCAGTGCCCATACCGCCTGCCACTGGTGGTGTGACGAAGACGTCGGTCGTGTAGAGCTGTATTTCCTCCATCCCAAAAGCATTGCTAGGGGGAGTCAAAGGGATAGATTCGAGAGCCAAACGCTGTAAAACTTCCATGTCCTGATATATATTCCCAGATATGATACGGAGCAATCCCGCATCGTCGCCACCGCAACCCTTCGGCATATCATAGAGTTGCATGTTGTTGCTTGTTGCGTTCATCGGCAGCCCAGCTCCATGGCCTTGCACGGCCGGGTTCGACAAAAACATCTCTTGTTGAACAACATTATTGGCCGGTTGACCAGGCTCACTACCTGTCTTAGCACTATTCGCCGAATCGGGATGGGGTGTGCCAAGCAACGCGCGTGTATGCCTACGCCTGTGCCTTGCCACCTCGTGAGCGCGACAGAAGCTGAGTGTGCAGCCTTCACGACCATATTTCTTCGATGGTACAAATGCCATACTACAAACAACCAGAGCCAGCAAGGCTCCTTCATCGGTACTAGTAGTTTCAGGCTTATCAGACCACATTAGAGTGGTAATGGACAAACCTGTATTTATGCCACGAGAGGTACTGGTATTTTTGCTGGCCCTTTGCGCCGGGTGTTGATTTAGGTAGTGCTAATTGTGATGTGGGGGCTGTGCGTGAATGTGGAGGCTGTATAAGTTTCAGTCTCACAATAATGGGTACGGGTGTGTTCAGTTAGGTGATAGCACCTTGAAAAAGAACGCCTACGAATCTGACATTGAGGAGGCTTCGCGCTTGCATTCGCACGCCTGCGGCGTGTCAGCTCGTCACTTTGCGATCAGTGGTAAGTGCAGCCTTCATAACCACATATGAATTTCTTCGATGATACAAATGATATACAACACAGAACCCCAAGAATAAACAAAGCCCTTTTGTCGCTACTCTGAATTCCATTCCTATCAGGCAACATGAGGATCGTATTGGTCATACAGGAATTTATGCCAGGTGAAGTTATTATCACTATGCAGTGGGTGTTGACGTGGTAGTGTCAAGCGCTTTGTGGGAGGCCGTGTGTAAATTTGAAGGCTGTACAGGTTTCAGGTCTGGCACTCTTATTTTGGGTGTGGTTGGTGTGGACAGGAAGCTGTATACAGAGCTCGTGGTGGTTGTAGACAGGGTGCTATGGAGTACGTGACAGGGCTATTAGTGTACTGGTAGCGAGGAGAATGCGCCTGATGTTGTAGGAAAGGTGCGTGTTTGGTGTAGGTAAGGAGATGTAGAGGCAGGAACACCGTGGTACTTGAGGAGCTATCTGCACTAGTCATACTATAGGAGCACTCTCAGTAGGCTGCTCTAGTGCTGCTGCATCCCGCAATGCCCGCTACTTTTGTAGTTTGAGCACTCTGGCGCTAGAGCGACGAGCTTCCTTAAGGTCTGTGGTGCCTCCTTTGCACCATGGCCGGTAGCTCGGCCTATTTAGCTCGTAGCTGTACTGATGAGGCCTTTATGGCTGAAACAGCTTTCTGTCTACAGCATTGGGCAAAGGACCATCCAGTAATCACTGGTCGATGAAATAGAACAGTCTATTTCTTCAGTACTGGCGTGATTAGTGCTAGGTTTAGTTTGAAAATGAAAATTTGCAGCTTTTTCATTTTGCTGATTTTTTACGAGTCGCAAGATATGGAAAATCAACGACATACAACGTAGACATACATCGGACCGTGTACAATAGACAGTATACACATATACATCAAACTAGGGCTGAAACGATCGTTCACTCTTAACGATTAACCATTAACGCTTTCGATCGATGTATTGGTTTTATCGATACTTTTTCGTTTCTCAAGCACATTATAGCAAATTTCGTTCTCGATAGACAAAACTTCAAAAAAATCAACTCGGGTATACTAAGCACCAACAAATAGCATACACCAATATTGAAAAATGTGCATTGTACTTCAAGTGATAACTCAAAACAACCCAAACAAATAAAAGATGAAAAGAGCATTATTGTCAATTTTCAAAAATTTGCTCTACAAGTGTTACGTACGACCACTGTTAGAATACTCAGTCCCTGTCTGGCCATTCGCCGTATCCCATTCAGATTCGCTTACGTTAGACCCACTGCAAGCCGTTGCTGCTCGTTCATATCTGCTTTGTAAGACCCGGCACCCTCCTGAGTGGGAAACCCCGAAGCAGTTTCTTAATCGTACTTGTGACTGGTCATCCCTGAAGTGGCGTCGTCAGATTCTGTCCTTGCTGTATTTTCACAATGTCTTTTACCAGTTTCCGTCTTTGCTAATTCGTTTCAAATTCAATGTATCCCTTAGTTGTCGTCACCCGTCCTCTATAGTTTTACCTCGTTCTGGCGCCCATTTCCTTAAATCCCCTCTCTTCAGTTTATCTGTGGAATGGAACAAACTTCCAGAACACATCCGCTGCGTTCAGTCCTCTGTCAATTTTCGCATTGCTCTAAAGGCTCATTACTCTCAGCATAGATATTCTCTGACTGGAATTCCGAACTTTTCCGTTTGAGAATTTTTTTTCCTTGAAATTAATCCTTGCTGGGGTTTTTTCATCTAAATGTCCCGGTATTATCTGCAGAGGTGATTTCTTCCCTCGTCGATTTCTTTCCTGCTTTTATACCTCGATATTTAGGTACTTGTTTCCCTTCTTCCCATGCTTCATCTTCCACTCTCCTCTCCCCCATTTCCCCATTTTTCTTGCGATATTTATGTGGGAGACTTCCGTGATAAGCATCCATTTGCTTTTGGAGAATCCTTTTAAATAAATACAATACAATACAATACAATACAAAAAAACCCCATACACATGTAGGTGACGTCATCATTTATGCAACGAAATTGACAGATATATATATATAATATATACACTCAGACACAAAGGATCTCCAAGGATCTCCAAGTTTCTCAGTGTTGCTACTCTGAGTTTCGTGCAAAAGCACTCTTCAGGCAACTTACTCTTCTCTCACATCAGTATCCCTTTACATACCAGAAAAGACGAAAAGAAGCACCCTAGGTGGGAATCACAGGTGGAGAAAAGAAGCACGCTAGCCAGTCTAGGTGGGAATCACAGGTGAAGATAAATGTGGCAAGTGTGGTAGTGTGAGCAATCGCGCAGGCCGGGTGGTGTGCATAAAGTGAAGTGTGGCAGTAGGATGCATGCACATTAGATAGCAGGAGTTCTGTATATGTGTAACAGATAGCAAGCGCAGTCTACAGTTCAGGTCACCTCCGATAGGAGGTACTTGGTGCTGTGGCGACATTTTGTGACCAGGCTGCATCTAATGTGCATGCATCCTACTGCCACACTTCACTTTATGCACACCACCCGGCCTGCGCGATTGCTCACACTACCACACTTGCCACATTTATCTTCACCTGTGATTCCCACCTAGACTGGCTAGCGTGCTTCTTTTCTCCACCTGTGAATCCCACCTAGGGTGCTTCTTTTCGTCTTTTCTGGTATGTAAAGGGATACTGATGTGAGAGAAGAGTAAGTTGCCTGAAGAGTGCTTTTTCACGAAACTCAGAGTAGCAACACTGAGAAACTTGGAGATCCTTTGTGTCTGAGTGTATAACCCCGCTCTGTCTTAGGACATTGAGCACTTTTTGCCGACGCAAGAAATACTTCTATTGTTCTATAATATATATATATATATACTCAATCTGCGGTATATATATGCATGTGTATTTTAATGATAGTGGCAAGCCAACGACAAACAATGTAGACATGCATCAGACCGTGTACAATAGACAGTCTATTCATATACCTCAAACCATGCACATGTAGGTGACGTCAGCGTTAGAAAGTTATCAGCACGTAAGAGACAAAGTGTGATTGGTCACAGACTCCATTGATACAAGGAATATGCAAGGTGTTGGCATAGTAGTCCATGCGACGCAAAGCCCTGGAGCTGCACCAGCACAAAACAGCACCTACACCGGGGGAGGTAGGGGCATTCCAAGGATAGTAGAATACCTTAATGGTGTTGGACCCTTTGTGCCTCCTTGTGAACCAGGAGGATGTTCCATTTCATCAGTCATGCCACTACTCTGGTCTGGAATTGGAACCAGATGCTCCTGGTGGTGGGTTTGTTGGTTGTGTTCTGCCTGCTGGTGTTCTGGCTCCTGTTACTGGTGTTCTGGCTCCTGTTGCTGGTGTTCTGGCTCCTGTTACTGGTGTTCTGGCTCCTGTTGCTGGTGTTCTGGCTCCTGTTGCTGGTGTTCTGGCTCCTGTTACTGGTGTTATGGCTCCTGTTGCTGGTGCTCTGGCTCCTGTTGCTGGTGTTCTGGCTCCTGTTGCTGGTGTTCTGGCACCTGTTGCTGGTGTTCTGGCTCCTGCGGTACGTTTACCGTGGATGAGCCTGCCATGGTTACGTGTTGTTGCGGGACGGCGGAGGCGGTGGCACCCGTCAATGAGGCGGGTATTGTTGTTGATGCAGCAGTGCTATTAATAGACTGAAGACACCCTTCACGGGGATGGCTACTGAGGTGCTTATCAAAGTGATCCGCCCTTGTAAACCGATCATTACACATTGGGCATTGAAAAGGCTCCTCGCCTGTATGCTTACGTCTGTGCCGGGAGGCGGTGGTACCCGTCGATGAGGCGGGTGTTGTTGATGCAGCAGTGCTATTTGAAGGCTGAAAACCCCTCTCACGGGGATGGTCACGGAGGTGCGTATCTAAGTTATCCGAACTTGTAAACCGATTATTACAGATCGGGCATTGAAATGGCTCCTCGCCGTAGGCGTAAACCTGTGCCGGTCTACGCTTCTAAGGCAAGTGAAGCTGAGGGTACAGCCGTCATGACCACATTTAAATCTATTCGATGATTCAAGTGCCATACTACAAAGAATGACAAGGGCAAGCAACCGCAAGGAAGGCTAGTTCGTCGCTCCTCTTAGGTCAATGCAACATGGGGATGGTACTGGCCAAACTGGTACTCATGCCAGGCAAGGTATTGGTGAATTGTTATGGTACTAGGATTTGGTGTTTATCTAGTAGTTTTAAGCAAGCGCTGTCTGTAAAGCTGTGCGTGAATGTTCGAGGCTGGATACGTTTCACGGCTAGCAGTGGCATTGTAGTTTTGAATATTGTTATCAGGAGGCTGCGTGCAGAGTGTGAGGCTGTTGTAGCCAGAGATCTGTTGGGGCATTGACAGGGCTAGCAATGTGATGTTAGCGCAGAGTATGTGCCTGGTGTTGTCAGAAAGGTGTGTTGATGGTGTAGGTCAGGGATGTAGATGCAGGCACACCATGGTGCTTGAGGAGATATTGGCACATGTCATACTATAGAATAACTGAGTAATTACTCGTCAATGAAATGAACAATCTTTTTCCTTAGCGCGGGCGTACTTATTCCAAGCTTAAGGTGGCAGACTAACCAAAATTAGCTGAAAAATCGAATTTGTAAATTTATATTGAGTGCTATGTCAGTTGAAAGAGCTTGAATAGCTGCAAATTCTCGTGAAAATTGTGTCCCGATCTGACCAGCCGTTCAAGAGACACATGTATGGCCTAAAATGTGCCCTTGCAAGGAAAGATTTTTTGGTTGCACGCTGTCATTTGTTGGCAGCACTGTATTTGAATGTGAGCAGTACGTGCGCAACTTGTCGTAACATGGCAACACGCGAAAGTGTGCAGAATTTTGCTCCAAGTCCAAAAAAGTCCAAAAAATCACGTTAAAAACACGTATTGGGCTGCATGGCGGCGGGCTTTGCCCGCCGCCGTGCAGCAGGACTTTTGCGTGCACCCTCATGACGTTACAGATATGTGGCTTGATTATTGTAGTTGACGTTGATTTAGTGACTTTGGCAAGTTTGAGTCGTGTCAAGAAGTCAGGTAGGATTCAGTACTAGGCACTAGTGGAACGTGAGTGGTAGTCTTTGCCGGTTTCTGAAGGCACCCTGGATTTGGTGTGCAGCGCAGTGGAAATGGCTTGCGGTGGAGCTCCCAGCACTGGATGTTTTATCAAAGGTATGACCTCGTAGCACGTGCTAAACCTAAAAAAATTCAAAAATTGACTTGGGTCTGTGGGAGTCTGTGAGAGAAACGCCCACTCGTTCCGTTGTGACAGATTGCAGGGCCACGTTGAGGGGCCCTACCCCACCACCCATGGCTGCTTCTGGATTTGGTTTAGGTTTGGATCCCGAGCACTGACAGAATGGGCACGAAAATGTGAAAATTTTGTAAATGCATTTGTTTTGCTCCTGGGTGGCTCGCACACAGTGGCACTATGCCGGAAATTTGAGTTTTCCGGCCTGGAAAGCCTGTCAGTGAGGCGCAAGAACTTGTAAATCAAATCCTGAAGGCCAGCATATTGGCAGGAGTGTGTGCTCAATATGCCATTCAAATCCATTGAGAAACACCAAAGTTACGGTCAATTGAATGCCATATGAAATGTATGGGTAGGTTGCCCCTTCGCTGAAAAATCGAATTTGTAAATTCATATTGAGTGCTACGTCAGGTGCCAGGCAATGAACGAAGCTGTGTATGGACCTGTTCGGCGCTCACCAGCTGCTCAGTTTGATCTGGGTTAGCCATCTCACCCAGCCTGTCGGGGCTAGTCCCCAAAAGCTACATAAAAACTACGAAAAAACGGGAGCCTCAAAACACGCAACCTACTACTACGACGGGCGTACATAGGCTTGACTAGCTGGACCGCAATATAGAGAGCATCAGTTGTCCTTCTAACCTTCCACTCTTCAGAGGTGCACTTACTATCGATTCACTTGAATTTTGCATTTTGAGAGAAAAATGTCACGTGATGTAGACCGGTATACTTACTGCCTGCAGATGACATGGGAGAGTCCTTTTGCTGTATTTAAAGAGCTAACAGGATCACTTGGTCGGGAGAGATGAAACGGATGCAGGAGAAATGCTGAAACTAGATCTGCCTGCGAGTGTGAGAAGATTGCCCAATGTGAACCTGATAATTGGTAAGGCTTTCACAAGATAATAATTATTATTATGAGAGTGTTTTCAATAGATCGGTGGACTACAGCCATTAGAGTTCAGCTAAGATTCTGGCATTTTTTACGAGGCACATGTCCCATATTCCTTTCAAGCTATTACCATGTTAACATGGCCGGGAGCGAACATATAGACGCAATATACGTGATTATACTCTTGTCAAAATGCTATGCAAGTACATGTAACGTCAGCCTCTTACTAGGTATGGCTTGCACAAGACATGAGAAGAATTGCTTATAAGAATTGCTTATAATTGCTTATAAGAATATGCTTCTGGACTAGACCGTAACAGATTGAGGCATCTTGTATGATGCACGAGTGAATGCAGACAGAGATATGCTGGTGCAGTTTCTTTAGCCAAGCCAACGACATACAATGTAGACATACAGCAGACCACAATACAGTAGACAGTAGACAGTGAACACCTATACATCAAACCATATACATGTAGGTGACGTCAGCGTTATGAATTTATCCGCATGTAGGAGACAAAGTGTGATTGGACACAGACTTGATTGATACAAAGGATATGGCCGGGTTTCGGCATAGTAGTCTATGCTACGCAAAACCCTGGAGCTGCACCAGCACACTGCAGTAGCATATCAGGCAAACTTAACTCTACAGTTTACAGAAACACATGCGTTTGCCACTTAAGACGTCCAGCACCTTTACCTGTGGAGGTAGGGCCATTCTAAATGTAAGAATAGAAGAATACTTTGATGGTGTTGAACCATTGGTGCCTGCTGATGAACCAGGAAGTTTTTCTCCATTTCACCAGTCATCCACTCCTCTCTTCTAGATTTGTAACCAAGTGCCGTTGGCGGTGGTGTTGGCGGTTCTGCTGCTGATGTTCGGACTCCATTTTCTGGAGATGATGTTGCCGCTGCTGATGCAGCCGTACGTTTTGCAGGGATGGGCCTGCCATGGTTCCTTGTTGTTGCATGGAGGCGGGTCTGGCGAGTGTCGTCGGAGTAGAAGCTCTGTGAGACTACATGGCTGAAGCTGCACTAACCGCTGGGGCATTGGATGTGACAGAGAACTGTTCAGCCGCGTTCCGCATCGAAAGTGATGGTCTGTTAGCCATGTTTGAAAGCGAAGTCATACCAGCACGACCTCGATATTGTCCGTCCTTCACGCGTTCATGACCACATATAAATACCTGGGGTTGCTACTGCTGGTGTTCTGGTTGCTGTTGCTGCAGATAATGTATCTGTTGCTGTTGCTGTACCGTGGATGGGCCTGCCATGGTTAACTGTTGCTGTGCGTCGACGGAGGTGGTGGTGCCCGTCGATGCAGCAGTGCTATTCGAAGACGCAACGGAGGCTGCACTAATAGGCGACGCAGTGACTGCTTCAGATGACTGTCCAGTTGCATTTATTACTGAAAGTGATGCCAAGCTCACCATGTTTGAAACGGAAGGTGCACCGACACGTCCCGGAGAGTCTCCGTGATGCACGCCTGGGGTTGGTCTTGATTCTCGCTGTTGGTGAACCTTCATGTGTCGACGCATACTCCGCTCCCAACCAAATCTTTTGGGGCACAACACACACTGGTATGGTTTCTCACGAGTATGTGTGACCTTGTGCTCGTTCAGGTTGTCCAGCCTTGTAAAATCGCGCTGACAGATTCCACATTGAAAAGGCTTTTCACCTGTATGTGTACGCATGTGCCGGGTCAGTTTGAAACTGCTTCGGAAGCGGCGAGTGCAGTCCCCATAATCACATACATGGTTCAATGGCCGGTGCTTCCATGGTATAGATCCACCACTCGATGACAGTCTCACGCTGCAAATCTCTTCTTCGTGATTGTCAGTAGCTGGCACCGTATTGACTGGTGGCGTCGTCATCCACGAGGAACCATGTGAATACCCAATCCCGTGAGTCGAAGGAAACTCATGCCAGCCGGCCCCATGCACCATGGAAATATTTGCAATTGAAGCTGTGGCATCTTCTTGTCCCACTACACCAGCGGTCATAGTGTACTGTTGCTGCTGCCGCTGCTGCTGGTGCTGCTGGTGCTTCTGGTTAGGGCTTATGGTGGCATCAGCACCAGCAGACCCGGAAGGCGGGTTGGTGGTAGCTAATGAGCCCATTGCTACCTGATCATCCGGCAGAGAAACTTTTGACCCTGACAATAATGGAACGGATGGGAATCTTGGGAACGTATCGTCATTCCCACCATCAACTGGTGCACCAGCCATGTCACTTCCCAGATTCCGGCATTGAGGTGATGTCTGCGTTATTTGCCCGCTACTTCTGACTAAAGAGCTTGTTTGGTCTTGCAAGAATGATGATTGAGCACGTTGTATGTGTCGATAAGAATATGATTGTGACTCGGACAATTGTGACTCGGACTGTGGCCCTGAAGGGGTCAGATGCTGGAGGATGGCGTCCTGACCTGCGCCATCAGTGAGATTGAAAGGTGCGACATCCATGGTCGCTGATGCTTCTAGCAAGTCAAGTTCTGCTGCTGCCGTGCCCATACCGCCTGGCACCGGTGGTGTGACGAAGACGTCGGTCGTGTAAGGATGCATCTCCTCCATCCCAAGAGCATTGCTAGGCGGAGTCAAAGGAATGGATTTGAGATCTAAACGTTGTAAAAATTCTAAGTCCTGATATAAATTGCCAGTTATAATACGAAGCGAACCCGCATCGTTGCCACCGAAAGGTTTCGGCATATCATAGAGTTGCATGTTGTTGCTTGTTGTGTTCATCGGCAGCCCAGCTCCATGGATTTGCACGGCCGGGTTGGGCAAAAACATCTCCTGTTGAACAACATTATTGGCCGGTTGACCCGTCTCACCACCTGTCTTAGCACTGTCCGCCGAATCTGGAGGGGGTACGACAATCGACGCGCGTGTATGCGTCCGCCTGTGCCTTGCCACTTCGTGAGCGCGAGAGAAGCTGAGTGTGCAGCCTTCACGACCACATTTGAATTTCTTCGATGGTGCACATGCCATACTACAAATAACCACAACGGCCAGCAAGTCTAGTTCACTCTTAGTTTCAGGCTTATCAGACAACATAAGTTTGGTATTGGTCAAGCATGTATTTATGCCACGAGAGGTATTGGTGTTTTTGCTGGCCCTAAACACCGGGTGTTGATTTTGGTAGTGCTAATCGCTATGTGGGGGCTGTGCGTGAATGTGGAGGCTGTATAAGTTTCAGTCTCACAAGAATGGGTACGGATGTGTTCAGTTAGGTGATAGCACCTTGAAAAAGAACGCCTACGAATCTGACATTGGGGAGGTTTCGCGCTTGCATTCGCACGCCTGCGGCGTGTCAGCTCGTCACTTTGCGATCAGTGGTAAGTGCAGCCTTCATAACCACATATGAATTTCTTCCATGATACAAATGCCATACAACACAGACCCCAAGAATAAACAAAGCCCTTTCGTCGCTACTCTGAATTCCATCCCTATCAGGCAATAATTATGAGGATCGTATTGGTCATACAGGAATTTATGCCAGGTGAGGTTATTATCAATATGCAGTGGGTGTTGACGTGGTAGTGTCAATCGCTTTGTGGGAGGCCGTGTGTAAATTTGAAGGCTGTACGGGTTTCAGGTCTGGCACTCTTATTTTGGGTGTGTTTGGTGTGGACAGGAAGCTGTATACAGAGCTCGTGGTGGTTGTAGACAGGGCACTGTGGAGTAGGTGACAGGGCTAGCAGTGCACTGTTAGCGCAGAGAATACGCCTGGTGTTGCAGGAAAGGTGTGTGTTTGGTGTAGGTAAGGGGATGTAGAGGCAGGAACACTGTGGTAATTGAGGAGATATCTGCACTAGGTCGTACTATAGGACCATCCAGTAATCACTGGTCGATGAAAAGAAACAGGCGATTCCCTCAGTACTGGCGTAATTAGTGCTAGGTTTAGTTTTGAAATGAAAATTTGGTGCTTTTTCATTTTGCTGATCTTCTTTTACGAGTCGCAAGATATGGGAGAAGTTTAAATAGACCGGTGAGCTACAATCATTGGATTACATCAAATATACTGTCATCGCCTGCGAGGCACAACTGATTTTGTAATCTTGTATGATCCACGAGCGAATGCAGACATACATATGCTGGTGTAGTTTTATGATCTTAGTGGAAAACCAACAACATACAATGTAGACCTACATTGGACCGTGTAAAATAGACAGTATACACATATACATCAAACTAGGGCTGAAACGCTCATTCACTCTTAACGATTAACCATTAGCGCTTTCGATCGATTTATTGGTTTTATCGATACTTTCTCGTTTCTCAAGCACATTATAGCAAATTTCGTTCTCGATAGACAAAACTTCTATAAAATCAACTCGGGTATACTAAGCACCAGCGAATGGCATACAGCAATATTGCAAAATGTGCATTGAACTTCAAGTGATAACTCAAAAACAACCCAAACAACTGAAAGATAAAACTAGCAGTATTGTCAATTAAAAAAAAAACCATACACATGTAGGTGACGCCATCATTTATGCAACGAAGTTGACAGATAAATGCTGTTTGCGTTATTCAGAGCTCACTGACTTGTCAGTTTGAGCACTCTGGCAAGGTACGCTCGGGCCTGATTGGAAATTTTTATTTCCATTGCTATCAGGTTCGGCCTCATTTCCTTTGTGCTGCGCTGATGAGTTCAAAAAGAACGAAACAGCATGCTGTCCGCAGATTGAGTATTTCGCTCCTGCTCTTGTAGCAGTTGAGCACTCTTGCGTGGGGTAGTGCCTTTGCTGTTTGCGTAATGCAGAGCTCACTGACTTGTCAGTTTGAGCACTCTGGCAAGGTACGTTCGGGCCTGATTGGAAATTTGTATTTCCATTGCTATCAGGTTCGGCCTCATTTCCTCTGTGCTGCGCTGATGAGTACAAAAAGAACGAAACAGCATGCTGTCCGCAGATTGAGTATTTCGCTCCTGCTCTTGTAGCAGTTGAGCACTCTTGCGTGGGGTAGTGCCTTTGCTGTTTGCGTTATGCAGAGCTCACTGACTTGTCAGTTTGAGCACTCTGGCAAGGTACGCTCGGGCCTGATTGGAAATTTTTATTTCCATTGCTATCAGGTTCGGCCTCATTTCCTCTGTGCTGCGCTGATGACTTCAAAAAGAACGAAACAGCATGCTGTCCGCAGATTGAGTATATATATATATGTTAGGTACCTCCTCCCGTACCTTTTCTAGCTGGCCTGCATGCACTTGCGTACGCACCTTTTGTCTCCTTTTGCTCCGTTGGCCTGGGTAGCTACTTGCGCACCCATATTTGCCATAGCTACCCAGGCCCTTTATCTTGCCGTTTAGACTTGATCTCTCTCTCTCTTTTCTCACTCGTCAATAATCACCATGTAGTCGTTTCGTTCGTCTTGGTCTCTTGTCTCGTCGTCTGTAATGAATGTCGTTTCCACTAACTTGTTCCCGTTGTCAGTCGTCCTGTTTCGAACTCAACATTGGCGCCCGATTATTGATCGACCCACGACCCTGAGATCATTCCATGCCCAGCCGTCCTCAACCACCATTCGTCTCGTCTATGTCAACCTCGTCTCGTCCATGTCAGTCTCGTATCTCCTACGCCAACCTCGTCTCGTCTCTATCAACCTCGTCTCTCCTACGCCAACCTTACCTCGTCTATTCTCGTTCAAGCCATGCAGGTCAGCTACCTTTCTCTCTTTCTTTTTTTGTATGCTTCTTCGTCAAATATATTTTCGTGAATTTTTTTGTAGTGTGTGCGCGCGCGTGTGTTCGTAAAACATAACCAAGTTAGGGGTCCGATCATGGTGAGCCACGCTCTAATTTTTGGATGTTTAGCAAAAGTGTAACTAGGCTGTATTAGCCGTGCAAAATACTAGTAATTCACGTTCCTCGTCAAACTCCAATAGTTATTACACACAATAAGTAGTACAGGAATGATGTGTACGAGTGCATTTTTAGGATACACTTTCGTGAGATCCATGCGCGCGTGCAGTATGTGTGTGTGTGTGTGTGTGTGTGTGTGTGTGTTTTGTCCTCCAGTTCATTTTTTAAAATCTTTTTCTCTCTTTTTTTTCTCTCCGCGAGGACGCGGGATTTTTTTCATGGAGGGGTTGTATGTTAGGTACCTCCTCCCGTACCTTTTCTAGCTGGCCTGCATGCACTTGCGTACGCACCTTTTGTCTCCTTTTGCTCCGTTGGCCTGGGTAGCTACTTGCGCACCCATATTTGCCATAGCTACCCAGGCCCTTTATCTTGCCGTTTAGACTTGATCTCTCTCTCTCTTTTCTCACTCGTCAATAATCACCAAGTAGTCGTTTCGTTCGTCTTGGTCTCTTGTCTCGTCGTCTATAATAAATGTCGTTCCCACTAACTTGTTCCCGTTGTCAGTGTGATTCACCTGTGATTCCCACCTAGACTGGCTAGCGTGCTTCTTTTCTCCACCTTTGATTCCCACCTAGGGTGCTTTTTTTCTGGTATGTAAAGGGATACTGATGTGAGAGAAGAGTAAGTTGCCTGAAGAGTGCTTTTGCACGAAACTCAGAGTAGCAACACTGAGAAACTTGGAGATCCTTTGTGTCTGAGTGTATAACCCCGCTCTGTCTTAGGACATTGAGCACTTTTTGCCGACGCAAGAAATACTTCTATTGTTCTATATATATATATAGAACAATAGAAGTATTTCTTGCGACTTTTTGCCGACGCAAGAAATACTTCTATTGTTCTATATATATATAGAACAATAGAAGTATTTCTTATATATATATAGAACAATAGAAGTATTTCTTGCGTCGGCAAAAAGTGCTCAATGTCCTAAGACAGAGCGGGGTTATACACTCAGACACAAAGGATCTCCAAGTTTCTCAGTGTTGCTACTCTGAGTTTCGTGCAAAAGCACTCTTCAGGCAACTTACTCTTCTCTCACATCAGTATCCCTTTACATACCAGAAAAGACGAAAAGAAGCACCCTAGGTGGGAATCACAGGTGGGGAAAAGAAGCAGGCTAGCCAGTCTAGGTGGGAATCACAGGTGAAGATAAATGTGGCAAGTGTGGTAGTGTGAGCAATCGCGCAGGCCGGGTGGTGTGCATAAAGTGAAGTGTGGCAGCAGGATGCATGCACATTAGATAGCAGGAGTTCTGTATATGTGTAACAGATAGCAAGCGCAGTCTACAGTTCAGGTCACCTCCGATAGGAGGTACTTGGTGCTGTGGCGACATTTTGTGACCAGGCTGCATCTGGTGTTGAGGAGCGATGCCTTGTCACTCTTCATTATGGCGATCTTCTCCGATAGGCATAGGTTGCACCGCTTCGAGGTTCTTTTGTAGGCGCTGGATCTCTGCCTGATTCTCCACGAGATGTTGACGCCTTCACCTGCCTCTTTCAATGCCCATGCATGCTTCGACAATTCTGTGCTGTTTCTGTGTGGGGCATTCCGGAACGATGACGTGTGGTTGTTGAACCGGAGTTTGAACGGGGTTTCGGAGATGCCGATATACTTCTTCCGGCTGAGATTGGAGTCCACTGTAGCTTCGTATACTATCTCGCTGGCGTTGCAGTCCCCGTTGAGTGGGCAGTTTGCTTTGACACGGCAGTTACATCTCTTTTCTTCCGGCTGTCTGAGGACTTTCGCGTTGTGGCCCTTGATTATTGAGGCTAAGTTAGGCGAACAGCTGTAGCTGACTTTGAGCGTGTTTTTGTTAAATATTTTTCTTAGAGCAGATCCTTCTGGGAAATGGCGCTTGACAAGTCTCAGGAATGTCGCGCCAACATCAGTCTTCACGGATTGGCTGTACGGTGGGTTAAACCAAATGATGGTCCTCTTTCGATTCTTTTTCCTCCTGGCTTGTCCTTCCGTGTTCGCCGGTTCCTCGTTATAGACGAGTGCGCAGTTGAAGCCACTTTTTGAGAGAGCTGCAGCGTACGTGGGGGCAGCCTCTTCAAAGACTTCTTGATTGGCAGAGACGCTCGTTAGGCGCTTGTTGATGGACTGCGGCAGGTTTTTGATTACTATTGGAGGATGGTTAGACTCACGGTTGAGGTAGAGGAGCGTGTCCCC